TGGTAAAACGGGGGTAGTGGGTTCGACGATATACGTTTTCTTATCCGAGTCAAAATCGAACAGATCGTTGGTTGTGATTTCACCGATTTGCGGTACTCTTGGCTCTTGTGAAGGTGGCGTTCTTTCAGATTTCGAGAGAATTGGAGTTACTGGTGACGAAAGATCTTTACGGAGAAATCTTGTAGTGGGCGATGAATCTCGTACTTTTCGTGGTGTACTAGGTGCGTGTTTCCTTAAGTAGGGCATACCTCGTAGGGCATAGGGTTCGGGTACCACATCCTGTGGTGTAACCAGCTCCCACTCGTACCTTGAATTAGCTCTTGGTATTTCCAAGTGAAAGTCAAATCCCCATCTCTCGGCATCAAGTATGGATTGAGCGCGAAGCTCTCGTTCCGCCAATGCACGAGCCGCGGCGTGATCGACGGGTCCGAATAGGTCCCTTCGAACACGAGCAAGGGCTGCTCTGCTCGGCACCGTTCGTCCTCCACCCAAATTCCTGCTCATTTCCGTCATCATCACCGGATTCAACACTCGAGCGCTCATATTTTGTTAGTCTTTCACGCCGGCAACGTCGCTGTTCTCCGTCGCAGTTACCAATAACCAAGTGTTTTCACGAACAAACAGCTTCCGTTTCTCTTCACTTAGTGTCTACTTTTTCTCTTTTTTATTACTCCTTCTCTCACTTTGTCTCTTTCTGTCTTTCTCCCAGCGTCTGTGTTCCAAATCACGATACGCCACTTACTAACTTACACACTCGATCAATTTCGATACGCGCACAGCGCAATGTTAGAAAACAATCTTTTTTTCTTATGAATTTCAACACGTATATTATATACGTCCCGTTTACGGAGATGATTCTTCCAGGAATCGTTCACAGAACGTTGAAATACTCGCGGCTTGCGAAGACGTGGCAACGTTGTCGTGGCGCGACCCACCGAATTTCGAATAATGGCCGTGCTCAGCGTCGTCTCACGATTACGCTGACTATTGATTCGATCATGGATCCACCAAACACTTCGAAATACTGATTTTTTGCGGTATACATCCGTGAATCGGAAGATATATTTTAATTCGGAATATATCATCCACAACTGAAGCGTGTATGATAAACTAGAAAGTTTGGCAACACGGTAAACACACTATTGCGTACCACGATGAAAGAGTGAGAGGTAAGATAGGAAAACAGCAACAACTATCTCATATTTTCTCAAATATCGGTATACATTTCCACGGTCATAATAACTAAAATTGATGTCAATAATTGATTATGATTTTAAGTTTTTTGTCCTTTTCTCTTAAATTCGTCAATATAGCCCGCGGGAAGAAAAAGCCGGCAACGTCGCACGCACTTGCGCGTGAGGCTTCAAGAAACGGCGAGCGTGTTTCGACGTGTTCCCGCGAAGGTTACCACGTTATTGTTGAAATTAAAAACTGATTATATATCAGTTTTTTGAGTTTATAATTATCCCGTCCATGCGTATAATGCAAAATACATAAATATATCACTCAAGATTTCTTGTTCGACACAAGACAATTTTACTGAAAACGTTATTGCACACGGCCCGAAAGCACCAATATGCTGTTCGCTGACACGGTGGGGAGCCACTGAATCGACTTCGATACCACATAAAATCCAAATGAAACGAGTACCACGCTTCCCGCCAAATACACGTCTGTCAGACACGCGCGTGGTTCCAAGTTCGGCAGAAGGTCGTACACGATTGCGCAGTTATGTTGACGCTGACGAGGTGCGTGCGTGCTCTGTAACGCACAAAGTTGCGCGAAGACACGTTCCACACGTGTAAAGCGCTCTCTAGCGACTGAAGTGTGCGCTTCTCATTGCAAGTAACCAAGCCTCTAAATACATCGGCTATTTTCGGCTATCTTCGGTATCACCCCTTTACCCTCTCCACATGTCAGGGAAGAAACGAAATAACCGCCATTTGCAGAGTATAGTTCCTTCGACCTGAGCGCAGCATTTCGAGCCTTTGAAAACACGTACGAGAAGGTTATACAGTTATTGGCCCCTTCCATGACAACACAAACGAGCAGAATGCTGATTGTAACCATCGGATGCGTCCCAGTATGCCAAGTTTATGGTAAATACTATCCAACTTTATTTTTTTGTATTAAAGGAGGACTATAAGGAAAATTGGAAAAAGCGATCGATCATAATTGTCTTCCATTTTCACTAAACATACGATTGTGTTTAACGCACAATTAAATCTGAATTTGAGAACGCTTTTAAAAGTAAGAAATTGCAAAAGGTAATTTTTATATTTTATGAATAGAGTCTTCTTGTAAAATATGATTCTTATTGATTATTCTGTTTTAAGTTAAAATATATTTTTCAATATATATTTGATAAATTGATAAATTGATATGATAAGTAATTTATAATTGATTAAAAAAAAAAAAAAATGAAGCGCATTATATGTTGACAAAGAAACGAAAAATAAACAAGTCCAGCTTTCAAAACAACGACTATAATCTTATCACGGACACTCGTGCGTACGTTTATTCGGCGGATTTCCATGTTTGCATGGCAATACATTACGCACAGTGAATTTATTTGCATATTGTTCAGATTATCATCATTATTTTATTTCAACTTTATAAACTATTATCCTTAGACACCATGATGAAAACACATTATATTTTGCAAAATTTAAAAATAAGATTTTATCTATCTATAACTATTCTTCTCTGATAAAACAAAAAATAAAGTAATCTGGTAAACAGATCAATTTTTATTCATACCTATTATGCCTTGATTTTTTACACATTTAAATATTTTGATTTGATTAATGTAAAATAATATTTTATATTTTTAATTATTTATAAATGAACAATAATGATAAATATAAATATTTTAATGATAAATTGAAAAATATTAATAATAAATGTAAAAAATTATATTTTTATAATAAAAGAATATAAATTTTGATTTATTATATAAATATAAAAGATGAATTCGTATATATTTTTTGAAACAATTTATGTTTGTAACAATTTATGATTGTTAAAATGTTTATTGCGACAACCTACTAAAGAAAAATACGAAATAAACGAGGTGAATCGACACTTTTCAATGATAATTGTCAATTTACCTCATTGTTGTTCTCGTGGCCCGAATCGTACGTGTCTCATGTAGAAGGCAATGGGAAATAGTTTTCAGTCGCGTACGAGGTAACTAGCGTCGAGCGAACCGTACATGGATCGTCACAACCAATCAGAGAGCCTGATTGTATTAACGTTAAATAGTATTGGTGTATATCCCACTGATAAAAGTATGGCTAACCAGATGGCGTCACTGTACACTAGCGGGAAGATTTTAAACGTTCAAATCTAAGAAAATTCAGATAATGATTTTTTATATATTATTTTTTATATTACATCAATTACGTATACTTATTTGTTATAAAAAAATCTCCTATTTATTAGGAGATTATTATCTTTATATGTGTGACCGTTTAACCGTTTATCATTCAATTATATTTCTTTCTTAATAATACGTATTCATTATTTTATGAATAAACATCTTATCAAAAAAAAAAAAATAAACAATAAACAAATAAAATAAATAAAAGAAGATAAAAAAACTCGAGAGATGTATTCGGTAGCAGGACAAATTCTCATGAGAGGATTGCAAAGCGTGTTGTTGAAAATGAAAATCCCACGCAACATCCAGGAAGTGGTGAGGGTGGCACCGGATGCATCTCAATGAGGGGAGAACGAGCGAATGAGTCGCGTAAAACAATCCTTTTTGCGTTTCGCAAAGACTTACCGTCTCTCTTTCATCTGCGGTCAGGTGGGGTACCCGTTTAGCAAGGTATTTCGTTGCATACACAGGTGTTCTCTCATGGTTCGTTGTAGACGAAGGTTAGAAAACAAATACCGTTTCCTTTTATAACGTTTACCGCCACTATCTTCCGAACGATGAGCCGTTTTAGATTATTTCTCAAGGAAACATGTGTTTATATTATGTCTTGAAAAGACGGCCGGAGGACGCGTGGCTGCGTCTGCATCGTCTATTTACCATCTAAAGAGTCACCTGTTTCATCTAGGTAGAAGAATTTCACTATCAAATCCGAGTTTACCGTTGGTATATGTTATCTCGTCGCGTGCACGCCGCCATAGAATGAAAACGTAACCGTGATAAATCATCTTTATCGAGATCAAGGTGGTGGATCGAGATCGAGGTTGGAAACAAGGATACTAGGATCCGTTAAGGCGTGAACAAATACATTTTCATTCATCAGTAACCATTGCTCCCTAAAAAAAAATAAAAAAAAAAAAAAAAAAAAAAAAAAAAAAAAAAACGACATTAAAAATTCTTTGCAAAGATCCTTCATTGATCCGTTCATTAGCGGTGGTCGTTATTAATTGTTCAGCGTGGAAGTATTGAATGGTTGCGGAGAACAATGAAGGTGGTGCACGTTATACGAAAATATCTTTTGTCGTAGTCGCGATTGTACCCACTTCCGTGGGAATTCGCGGAACGGAAGTGCAATTTCTGGCAATGGGTACACCACCATCATCTTGGCCAGCTTCAGCATAGCGCGAGCAACGTGAAAAAAACGATTCTTAAGAAATGATGCCAGGTGCACAACACGCTTCCTTCTCACGAGAACTCGAGATTAATTTTTAAGAAATTTTTTAACAAGTGCTGGCGCTCGAAGAATTAAATGGAATTAAGAAGTTAACGGTAATAATTGTTGCACTTTTTTACAATTTTTATATATACGCTAATTAATTATAATTGAAATGTTTACGTTTCTTCGGTAGACGTATACAACAGATGTGTCATCTTATTCTCGTGCCTCGAATTCAGGTCACGCATAAGTCATGCACCATATGTTTGAGAGCATCTAATCCGTCTATATGAATCTCGTGTTGTAGTTTTATTAGAGAAGAAGTAGGAAGAAGAGGAAAATATTTGAAAAGTCGGACGCAGAGTTATAAGGTAAAGAAATATATTATTTTGTCTATCTATAAAAAGTATAAAGTCACTTTAATATACGTATAATTTATATTCACATAATAATATCATTCGTTCACTAATCACGTGTATTGCACGCAGGTATAATAATAAATATTAAATAATTATGTAAAATGGTATAAAATTAAGATAAATAATACAATAACAAATATCACGACAATCGACATCCGATTTTCGAGTTGTCATTACGAGTCAAAATTTTTTGTAATTTAAATAAAAAAAAAAAAAAAAAACTTTGGTTTACTCTAGATACTCTTTAGGCTAAAGAGCGTCTATTCTGACTAGAAGTCAAATTAATACCTTTTTCTGTAATCAACATCTTCACAATTTTCAATTTGATCTTCTTCTGACTTCAATTTCATCGATTTTTTTTTTAACTTTTACTTATAAATTGTAGTTTGAAAAAAGGAATCACTTTCCTTTTTTATCAAAATTTATGATGAGCAAAATTATATTTTGTTACTACGTTTTATTTTGTTATTGTTTTCTCTCTCTCTCTCTTTCTCTGCTCACGTACTATCGGTCATTTTATCGTCATCCTTATCCTCTGCGTGATCTTGCATCGTAACGTCATCATCTTGTGCGTCTTCTTCCTGCATCGTTTGTATATTTTCTACTCGGCTGTTCGTCTCCAACGGATTGCGAATTTCATTTCCGTGTTGATCAAGCTTCACCCATACGTAACGACCGGGTAGAGGTTCCTCCTTCTCGAAGTCGAAGTTCCACCTCTCCTTAGCCTACATTCAAACGAATCGTACAGTTTCAATAACGGTCATAGTAAATCAAAGTAAACTACTATTTTACTCGTTCGTACGTACGTTCTCTCGGTATTTTCGAGCCTCTTCGAAAAAACAATTGGCAACATTGTCCTCGATACGGGAATTTCGCCCCGATTCCGTTTCATTATCGTCATCGTCGTCTTGAAAAAGTCTTCTTCGCACGCTACGAATCCTTCTCCCCTCTTGTATATCGATGTTTGGATATTGCATCATGAGTCGAGCCCTTCACAGATTTAGATTTTAAATTTGTATATAAAAAAAAAAAAAAGAAAAAAAAAGAAGAAGAAGAAGAAGAAGAAGAAGAAGGGACGGAAAGAAAAATGGAGAAGAAAAGAAAAGTGAAAAAAAAAGAAAAGAGAAAGAAACGTTCCTTTCACGAAGATTATCGCCTCAAGCGGAGAGCTACTACTCGTAACGTAATAAAACAGAACTATGACAAATACGATAGGAGAGTAAAATATAAAGATAAACATACGCTCGAAGGTGACATGCTGTACAAAAAAACAAGAAAAAGGATTCGCAAGTGTGTATGACAGGTTTAGTTACCAATGCTACGCACGATTTAGCATAGATAATAGCTCTTTGTGGTTTGTAAACAATGTGATATGCTTCGAGTGAGTTGCCGCGTTGCAAGAGTATGCAAGCCTGCAAACGTGTGTTGGCCAACGAGAAAGAAAGAACAGAAGAGAAATCTATAGCACTCTCGGTCAATGTGCCGTTGAACAAATGTATTGGAATGCATATCACTTCCTGCACGAACGTACCACTGCATACCGGATAATAGTAGTTGTTATTCGACACATAGATGAGATAAACTTTCACGTCTAATCTTCGATCGTATAAATCGTACAATTTCTGCGATGAATATTCGATAAAAATGTATCTATCTTTTCGCGCTTTCTTTTTCGAAGAATCATCAAAGTCGTTGGCTATCGAGGTTGATGATTCTCGATTTTATTTACCGAGCATAACAATATTGACATTTCGTTCTAAACTGGTTTTGTCGGCGCTTTCACTAGCCAAGCTTTTGCTACTCGAGTAACGTGAAATAAATTCGATTTGATTTAATCGAATGTTCCAAGGTAATATATAGGCAAAAGATACGAAAAATTATAAATTCCTTTTTCTTTTTTTTTTTTTTTTTTTTTTCGTAAAAATTATATAAAATATTATACCGTACAAAGAGAAAAACGCGTATGACAAATTACGCTTAATTTTTGCTATCAATCTTTTTAAACTTAATTATTCGTGATAAAAGTTTGCGATAAAAGTTTCAAATTATACAAATTTCTGAATCTGTTCATCTCGTTCAATTTATCGTGAAATTATCCGAATAACAGTGTGAATAGTATGCGTTTGGTATTTCGAATAACGTGTGAATCTATATTAGCGAGAGTGAGTACGATAAAAAACAGTTGCATAAAATAAAGAATTCTTGCAGAGAAACGTGCACCTGTCATCTTTGTATCCGCCAATTATTACGATCGTTACGCTTTTCCGTTATCGTATAAACGGTTCGTTTATCTCGGTAAAAAACGAGAAAATTTCATTCCAAGGCGGTTTAAACATCGATAACATTGTAGCGATGATAAAATTTTGCTCGCAAGGTCAGAAGATAGGAGACGTACCTATACGTCCCATGTTTAAAAACGTTTGATCTGGCACAGCCGAAGGGTAAAGTTCACGCTAATAATATCCAATCCATGCAGGATCGAAAGTCTCGTGCACCGATAAAACTAACTATATAATATCCTCGTGGCGTGATTTTTATTTACTCACTGTCGTGTGGCAGAGAATCGGCGGAGATATATTATAATTCGCGAAATTTGTCGTATCGCACAGATCACAGGCACAGTTCAGCGACACGTAGCGGAGCACAACGTTTCGATGGTCCCAGACTCATTTTGCAACATTTCGAAACGAACGCGATGCGTTTTCCTTTCCTCGGTAAAAAAAAAAAAAAAAGACCGTGCGTCCCCAACGTTGCCGTCAGCCTAGCGAAATGTTCTTGGCTCGAATAGCAACGCGATCGATAATTCCATCGTTTTCGTCGGGGGTGTGGACTGGTACTAAGGTACGACGAGGGGGTATTTTAGTGCGCGCGCACATTGCAACGAGAGAGATACTCGGTCAGTGCGCATTCGCACGGATATCGATATTTGACACTTTCAATGCGCATTCTACTCGCCATTCCGTCTCTCTCTCTCTCTCTCTCTCTCTCTCGTCGTTACATCGTGATCGTTCGATCGTGACCGTTCGACCACCGATCTTCTTTTTTTCCACGATATTTGCCGTTTCCATTGAAAATACGTCAATATACATGGTCCCCAACATACATGGTCAGGTTAGAAAAATATACGAGCCTCGATTTAAAAAAACGATAATTATACGTGATGGCCTTGAACTAACCTAGGTCGTTCGCTCGTTACTTGTCGGTCCCCGGAGGTACGAATCGGTCGCGTATCCGAATTCACCGGCATTCGTCGTCCCGAACCTTGAAAAATATCACTGACATTGAACCCACGTCCACACCGACAAAAGCTCGATATTGGTTATAAATTCGAATGAATGAAATTAAATTTTAAACAATCGATCCCCACTCCTCTCCCACCACCCAGCGATCGTTTCGATCCTCAACGGCAGATAAGGAAAGATATATATATATATATATATATATACACATATATATAATTAGAGAGAAAGTGTGGGTAAAGAAAGCAGTACGTCGAATGCGCGTCGCGTTTGGATTCGAAATTTTAATCGAAATAAATCTCAACAACGATCTGATCGAATAATACACGCGTATTATTTTCGCGAAACGAGAATACGAAATAAAATTTTCTTTACCGCGTGATTCGTGCTATTCATCTCTCTCTCTCTCTCTCTCCCTCTCTCTATTTCTCTTTCTGTCTCTGTCGCGGCATCCCTTCGTAGGGATCGTATCCATTTGACCGGCGTTATAGCACCGCTACTCGACGTACTACTGCTATTTGTCCCACTTTTCCCCAGTTACACATTCCGTTCCCTCGCCTCGTCGAGGTGAATTCGAGACGATTCCTTGGAAGAAAAACACGCTACCTTGGCCACGTTCTACCGGAGAATGTTTGAAATGTTTTTAAAAATTTGATCGGGCACACGATATCGCGATAAATTGTCCGCGATCGAGAACGATTGCGATTTCACGGGAGAAACGGTGAAACGCTGCAGCTGATGCAACGCTTAAAGTGCGACTGGCGGAAAGTCGGAATAGTTACTTGCATCCCTGGTGCAGCTCACTAGCCTAGATTCTGCTTGCAGGCCATTACTTGCGAGCAACACTGGAACAGACGCATGCGCGAATACCCATTAACAGAATGGTTCATTGTAAAGTAGTCGTTCATCCTAGGACGCAAATTTATCATCGTTCCGGCCGACGATCGTTACGATACGACTTAAACGACTTAACCGTACGTAGAAATATAACCGTTCTTCCGCGTATCGACCGCTCGTTCGTGGAACGTACGAAGAAAGAACGTACTTTAACGAGAAAAACTTTATTGGTGTCTTCGTGGTGCCGCGAATTATCGATCATCGACGACACGTTCACGTTTCTTCTCTCTTAATAATATATCTAATCCCCGGGTAAGATAACGCAACAACAACACATCGTAACACACGGAATGATGATCGAATCGATGATCCAATATTAATTTTCGATCGAGGTTATATATCGATGTCACCGAGTAGTTATTATCGAATTGTTTGTCGGAGAGCGATAAACCGATCGATCGATACATATTTGCGAGCTGATTGAATAAGATCGCGCGAAGCCAAGGGGGGAGCGGAGGAAAGGTTTGCCGTTCGTTTTTGCGTTACCATGGAGAAAAACCGTAACGTTTCCGTGAGAGTGTAGCTGTTGGTAGTCGCGTACAGCCGAGAATGGCGAGAAGTGGAACGATAGGAAATTCTCACATACAGATAGATATTCTCTCCTTGTATATTTCTCGAGGAGGATTCTTCGAACGTTGTAAAAAAAAAAAAAAAAAAAAAAAACGACAGTTGAAAACAAGCATCTCGATCATCGTTCTCCTCCTCTATCTTTTACACTTGGTTCGAACCTTCTTGGCTGCTTCGAGCCCCGTAACGTTCCACGTATTGATGTTCCGCGTTCCAACTTCCGAGGAAATCGCCGCAACTAGATCTTGCATAATTGCGTCTCCTTTTTGTGCTTCCGTTTTTCTTTTTTTTCCGTTTCCTTTCCTATCCCGTGTCCTTCTCGTTCACTCGTTTTCTTCCCTAGCAACCCACGCAGCTGTCGATCATCATCGGGGACGAGCACGCCTTTCGAAAGGCTTCGAGCAGCAGCGGGAGCGCTGTTAAACGGTGCCATCGATATTTCGCGTATATATATATATATATACGACAGCTGATATTTCAACATTTTTCCGTCCGAATTCTCTCGAATTTCAACGATCCTCCGGTCGACGAAGAAAAAAAGAAAAAATAATTTCTCCAAGCCAAATACACGCCTCCTCTTTTTATTTTGCACGTCTCGTGTATTTAATTCATTTTTAAATTGTATTCAACATATCGGGTGATCAACGCGTTGAATAAGTCATGAGATTAATGACTCGAGTCGCTATGGTGGAAATCACGAGATTCCTTTAATATATCGCATGCAACTGCGCGTAACATCTGTGAGCAACTCGGATTTTTTTCTTTTTTTTTCTCAACATGTTCGTTTAACCCGCTATTCCTGAACGAAATAACATCGAAGGAGGAATCGAGCACGTTGCTTACCAGTAATTATTCCGCTCGAACTATCTTGACGAATGGATGATTTCTTCCACTCTGCCCTTTAGAAATCTTTTTTTTTTTTTTTTTTTTTAAAGCAGATAAAGACACCCGACCGAATAATTGAAATTCTTCTTTCTCGATCGAGTTGGCTCGAGGTAAATAAATCGCACGCGTAAATTCCAGTCAAAACAATGGTTGCGCCATCGTTGGATCGTCAGACGTTTAGTAGAAAAATTGTCGGCCGGTCGATAGAGGAAATTGACCACTGGAAAGCATCCAGGTTAAAGTTTGCAGTGCGTTTAAACGTTCGCGCGTGTGACCAGAATGAACACGTCTCGGTCAGTTGATGACCGTATCTGATTAATATTAACGCTAGAGAGAATCGAACCGTTACATACCAAAAAAAGAAGCACAACTGTAAACGCATTTCTTTTCCTTTCTTTTCTTTTTATCGAGCTTCAAAACTAAAACTTCCGTTCGGATTGAATTCCAATCAACGAGCTCCTTTTATCCATTATCGCAATCGCGCGAGTAACGTGTCCTTTTCCATTTCTCTTCCCTGAAATTGAAGTTTCGAGAGTAAACGGTGCGTTCGATATCGGTAAATTCTTTCACTTTGATCGCCACACAGCGAAAATTGCATAATTTTTCTAACTAATTCATTCGCTCGTGATTCCATTTCGATCGGAAGTTGTTGATGCGCTCGATGATCGTGAGCAAACGTGCTCTGCCTTTTCAACGACGATACGATGATAAATCTCAACGAGTCGCGTGTTTCCCCTCTTTTTTAAATCGAAATTGTTGCGGGGATTTCCTTTATCATCCATCGAGAATCAAATCACTCACGTCACATCACATCACCGGAAACATCACAATACCGGAGTTTGATCATTCCCCTGTTATCGATAATCGTCTACGAGAGTCTTAAATTTGTCTTACACGAATCGAGATAGATTGGACGATAAAGGCAATTTAACATCGAAAGCCTGTAATTTCTGTGCAAACACTTGTTCCGGCGAAACGCATTTTCCACATACCTTTCTCGACGCGGCATTTTAATCGGCCCTGTTGGAAATTGCACACGCTTCTCGAAGGCGCGCGCGCGCGCGCGCCTTTCTCAAACGGTCAACGTAACAACGAATTCCATTCCCCGTGAATGGAATGCATATTCATTCATTCGTTCGTTCGTTCCTTCCTTGGCGATATCTTTTCGATGCACGTGTCGCTTGAATTTCGACATATGCTAAAATCTTTTGCGCCAACTGTCGTTTCCTGCGTGTATTCCACGAACCTTGAAATGTATTCCCACCGAAAGGAATCACCTCGGTCACGCTTCTCGCTCGACGAGAAACGTGCAAAAAAGAAAGCGATGCTTGAACGTGGAAAGGAAGCCGGACCTGTATTCCCGATTTCGCCCCATTTCCACACGATCCGGATCCCCAACTTCCCGCGAATAATACCCTCTAATCTTAGCCAAAACATTCCCTTTTGATCGAAACATGTTTGCTCGTTTTCCTCTCCTTTGTAACAGTCCGTGCTCCGAGTTAAATGACTTTGATCCAGTAACAGCCTCCGACAGAGAGAGAGAGAGAGAGAGAGAGAGAGAGGAAGAAAATAAACCGAGCCCTTATCCATTAGAGGTGTACGAAAATTATTCTCGCGTGTTCCCTATCCTGTTTAAATGTCGCCTGAATCGTTACGAAGGACCCGTCCGATTCGAAACGCCGCGCCCTCGAGTATGTTTCCTGTCGGACGTTTTCATCCAAGAGCGGACGTGTTTGTTTCCAGGGTTGGAAAGTTTCGATGGAAACGAGGACGGCGAGTCACGTGCGAGCGATCTGTCTCTCCGCCGTTCCGAGACATTTATAGAAACGAGGGACGTGCGATGACGTGATTTGGCGAGAATGAAATAAAAAAAAAAAAAAAAAAAAAAAAAAGAAAGAAAGAAAGAAAGGAAAAAAAGAAAGGCTCGTGTGAAAGGACGAATCAAGGTAAACGAGTAATCGAAGTTAATTAGAACGATGATTGAAATCGTTTATGCAGAGCGATTTATTATATTCGCACCTTTTTTACCGTCCGAGTCGATCAAACGTACTGTAATGTAATTTAAATATGTGCATTGCGGTAAATGTTATTGAATGACGTGTCGATGTGTCGAGCGTATAATATTAGCCACGATTAATTTATGCATTATGCTTTGCAAATGAATGGCGCAGGATTATCGATTGCCTGTAACTCGTATAATTATTTATGCTCGTTGGCGGAAGAATTTTCATAACGGTATGGGAAAATCAGTCAGCATATTCCGTAAACAAGAATTATTAAAAGTTCGTTAACCTGACATTCCACGATAATAACGAGAAATCATCGTATACCGTTGGTCTTGAGAGTATCCGGTCACATTGTATATTCGGAATAATTTATGAAAAATTGCATATTAACGAGCATTTAAATATCAATTTTTGACACCTACCTATATTTAGTATTTCATTTACATACAATGATAGCTTAACTGTTTTAAAAGAAAATAGAATGCATGGTGAAAAATTCATCAAGAGGTTTTGATAATTCACTCGAAATTCCACTCGAAGCAAACGAGTTACGACGCGCAATCGCATTATGGCCGTCGCGTAGCATAACGATTTTGAAATTATTGCTCGAAAATTGGCACACTTCCTGTTCCTTTTTTGCGTTGCATTGGCTCGAACACTCCGGATGAGCGCTATCCGTTTCGATCATTCTCATATTTTCGATAGTAAATTCGAGACAATGAGTACGCGCCACTAAAAATAGGTTAAGTCCACCCACCGAATCTAAATGGCCGTTCGGCTTTTCCGTTCGATTCCGTTCGGACTAAAATAGATTCACGTAGGTCGCGGACGCAGCTGTGGATTTCTATCTAACGTTTATTTCGTGTTCGCGCACCGTTCACCCATTTGCGGCAGGTCAGTGACGTTACTCGGCCCACGTATCGTCTAACAAACGACACTCTTCTCAGACTTTCCATTGCAGAAATATACAAGCATCGAAACAAAGCGATGCGTCACGTGGACTCGATGAATTTTACGACTTCCCTCCGTCACGAATCTCGCCACTTTTTTATCATTATGCCTATATATAGATTTCCAAACGTTTATTTCGTTTCGCCGATAAAAGGACAATAATTCCGCTATATTTTGTCTACCAAGATATAACACGTTTGTACGTAATCGACGAAAAAGAGTTTCGCGTTCGGATTTCTTTGTATCTATTGTGCTGCGCGATTCGCAAATGCGACAGTGGCGCCAAACGATAAGAAAGTGAAAACACCGGCGTACAGAGCGCCTCCTGACCTACCAGACTTTCTAATACTTATTATATCTACTAGTTACAATCCGATATTTATAAAACTTTCTATTCTTTTTACTCTTGCGTTATTCTACTCGTCGAGTTCGAAATTTTCCGTTGATTTCGATCCGTATC